ATAGATTACTTTTACCCGCTTACGTAGCTTCAAAAAAGGAGGGTTAAGTTTTTCCTTCCTTTTCCTTTGGATGGAGCGTGATAATCTTGTTAGGTATCAAGAAACCATAACAAACAAATGTCAAAAGTCCACCTTACAAATCATAAGTCTAACATACAAGTAGTCTTTTGAGGCAATTGCGTTTAAAACCGACATATGGCGTAGTCGATCAAATTGGCGATATTGAAGATGGGACAAATTAAGAGTACCCTTAATCGCCGAGCATGTATGCGTAGATATATGCGTGTGAAGGAGGCGAAAGCGATGTGTCAGGATCATACCAAATGGAAGTTCGTAGTCTTTGCTTATGTTTTTTGTACCAGCCATTGCGGTGATCATTTCGAATAACCTCTTGGTTGCCAATTTAACAATTTAGGGCAAGCTTAGGCGCGAGTTTTCCCAAGTTGCCCTTCGTTAGTTTTTTTATTTTCCCAATTCGACGTATACAATATCATTTTTTCATGCATGTCGAAGACTGCTGCTTCTCTTTTGTGATATGAGAATTAAAGTGAAATCTCTTTTTACTTTAACTCTTAATTCGTAAGTATAAAGTAGCCGTAAATTTTCGGTTGTCAACGTGGAAAGTCGCTAAAACCGAACATTCCAGGCCGGAAGTAATCAAATTGTAAATATAGGTACCTTGCCTTTAGTTTCACTACCTGGAGGAAAACAGCAGCATTTTACACTGGTATTCTGTGCGAGCGTAATACTTCCCCGGTCGGGCCCACTCTTTTGTGTTCCCACAATGTACTCGTAGTTGGAGCGTGGCTTACACTTAACAAATACTATGTCGAATTACAGATATAAAACTTCAAACTACCCAGTATTAGAAAACGATAATGTCATAAATTAGGCCCTAACAAGTAGATTTTGTTTGAAGATAAAATGAAACTATAACAGTAATATAATATACATTATTGCTACATTACATGTTGAATTTTGTTGTGTAATGCAAATGAATAACGTAATACTAATGTACAAGAGGCTATTGAATTCATTATTCAATGATTACAAAAAGTTTTACAATGAGGCATTTGAGATTTTGTATTTGAAAATTTTGATTTTTTATCATTACAGCCCTTCACAAGTCCACTGCTGAGCATAGGCCTCCCCCAAGGAATGCCACAAAGCACGATTCCGAGCCACCTGCATCCATTGATTTCCTGCATGTCTTACCAGGTCGTCACTCCATTTAGTGGAGGGACGCCCTACACTTCGCCTGCTGGTGCGAGGCTGCCATTCGAGAACCTTTCTTCCCCATCGGTTGTCGTCCCCCACGCACTGGTTGTACAATTTCGTTTTAAGGTTTTGAGGAATATCTGACGAGAAGAACATGAGGCTATTGAATTCATTATTCAATGATTACAAAAAGTTTTACAATGAGGCATTTGAGATTTTGTATTTGAAAATTTTGATTTTTTATCATTACAGCCCTTCACAAGTCCACTGCTGAGCATAGGCCTCCCCCAAGGAATGCCACAAAGCACGATTCCGAGCCACCTGCATCCATTGATTTCCTGCATGTCTTACCAGGTCGTCACTCCATTTAGTGGAGGGACGCCCTACACTTCGCCTGCTGGTGCGAGGCTGCCATTCGAGAACCTTTCTTCCCCATCGGTTGTCGTCCCCCACGCACTGGTTGTACAATTACGTTTTAAGGTTTTGAGGAATATCTGACGAGAAGATGTGTCGTGATCTCTCGAACGCTGCCCAGCCGAGTTAAATCTGTCGATTGACCTCTCGGTCGAAGTTGGACTTACCTAGTCGGATTTTTTTTTTATAGCAGAGAGGGCAAACGAGCATGCGGTTTACCTGATGGTAAGTGACTACCGCCGCCCATGAACAACTGCAACACCAGGGGAATCGCAGATGCGTTGCCGGCCTTTTAAAAAGGAGTACGCTTTTTTCTTGAAGGTCCCTAAGTCGTATCGGTCCGGAAAAATCGCTGATGGTAATCGATTCCACAAGGAGGTCGTGCGAGGAAGAAAACATCTTCTAAATCGCACAGTGGTGGACCGCCAATCATCCAGATGGTGTGGATGGTATCGGGAGTTCTGCAGCGATGTGCGTTCGTGAAATTTGGCGGCTGGGATTAATCCGAACAATTCCTCAGAGCACTCCCCATGGTAGATGCGAAAGAAAATGCAAAGGGATGCAACATCTCTTCGCAGTGCCAATGAATCGAGCCGATCGGAAAGGGCTCGGTCGTCGACGATTCGCGCAGCTCTGCGTTGGATGCGGTCAAGTGGAAGGAGCTGGCACTGGGGAGCCCCTGCCCAGAGATGGGAACAGTATTCCATGTGAGGCCGAACTTGCGCCTTGTAAAGTTGCAGGCGGTGTGCCGGCATGAAATACTGTCCCGCTCTGCTGAGCACGCCAAGCTTTTTAGAGGCCAATTTGGCCTTCCCTTCCAAGCGACCACGAAACTGCACGTCACTCGATATGTCGGCTTTGTCCCAGGTAAACATATTTGTCAACAAATTCGAGCTTAGTGCTCCCAACAACTATCGGCATAGGTGTGACATGGACGTTAAACATGATTTTTGTTTTGTCCATGTTTATCTTAAGACCTATCCGTTGGAAGACACTATTGAAGTCATTGAGCATAGTGCTTAGGTCCTTCAGCGATTCTGCCATAAGGACTATATCATCGGCAAATCAAAGGTGAGTGACGTACTTGCCATTGACGTTTATACCGTACCCTTTCCAGTCCAGTAGCTTGAAAACGACTTTCAATGCAGCGGTGAAGAGTTTCGGGGATATTACATCAGCCTGTCTGACACGTCTTTGCAGTTGGATAGGTTTCGTAATCCGGTTCTGTACTCGGACAGTCCACTGACACCGCTGAAGGGACTGCAGTACCGCCCAAATTTCGACGTAATCAAAGGCTTTCTTATAGTCCACATACGCAAGACAAAGTGGCAGTTTGTACTCTTCGGTCTTCTGTACAATTTGTCGAAGGGTATGTATGTGGTCTTTGGTGCTAAAGCCTTTTCGGAAACCGTTTTGTTCGGAAGGCTGGAAGTCGTCGATTGTACCTAATTCCATCCTAGCCCGGGGACTTGCCGTTTCTCTACACTCACCATACGAAACAGCAGTATTAAGTTGCTATTTTACGCTGGACCGGAGCCGACCCATTCGTGCTATAACTATACCAGTACTATAGCTGTAGCATGGCTTTACCACGTAAATTATCCTCTATTAGTTAGTGTTAATTTCTAGCGTTGTTTATATGAATAAGAGGAAATGTCTACTCTTAGGAAATTATATTTAAGACTCGCTGGAGCGGTGTAGGATACTCTTTTCGGCCCTTTTTCATTATTCATTCGATATGGGTTTCGATTCGATTTGGAATCGGTTGGGGGCGGATTGTGCTAACGATGACGTACTTTTTGTTAGTCAGTAAATATTTGAAAATTTAAAGGTGATCACAATTGTTGGCAACACACAATGCTCTCCTGGTATTAATTTGCCTTAAAATTCGTTAACGGCACCTGAATAAAATTTTCCACAGATTCGGCATCAGATTCATCGTGAAAGGTTGCTAACTATCATCATCATCATCATCATCATTACAGCCCTTCACAAGTCCACTGCTGAACATAGGCCTCCCCCAGGGAATGCCACAAAGCACGGTCCTGAGCCACCTGCATCCATCGACTTCCTGCGTGTCTCACCAGGTCGTCACTCCATCTAGTGGGGGGTCGCCCTACACTTCGCCTACCGGTACGAGGCTGCCATTCGAGAACCTTTCTTCCCCATCGGTTGTCGGTTCTTCGAGCTATATAGCTGGTATTGCCACTTCAGCTTACTAATCCTTTGGGCTATGTCGGTTACTGGACTTTGAGCTTCCTCACACGGCCAGCTTTGACTATAGTTGGACTTTAATATCGTTTATTAAAGGATTGCCTGTAAGAATTTGAGAGAGAATAATTTTCCTCTTCGTGGTTCTTGCTTGCCTAGCAGACACTAGATTTCAGAGATGCGAAAATCTCATGTACAAATCTTCGGGGTAAGATGACATACTATGTCATCTTAAGCTGAGGGTTGCTAATATTTGGAGCTTTAGGGTAATATTTGCCGCCTTTTGCGACTTAAAACTTTAAGGTCACTTCATTAATTCTTCGATAAACTCTAATTCTTCAATTAGCGTCTTATCTATAACCCTAACCACAGTTTATATCAAAGTAGTGAAACGCTGCAAAAAGACTTACTTGATACAAATTAATCCGCAAAAACACGAAATGAAGAAAAATAACATTTTTGAGTGACGAAATCAAAACATTCCACACTACATCTAAACAACGCAAGCGGGCGATCACAAAAGTTTTGAGCGTCGACACTAGTCGACACCATCTGTGAGTCGACGGGTAAACTTTGTTAATGAGCTTGTGGCGTGTATATTTGAACGGAATATGCACTATATAATATATCCTTTCAGATATACACATCATCTTATCTGAGTATTTTTTTTTACAGGATAAGGGTGACAAACGAGCACACAGTCCACCTGATGGTAAGTGGTTGCTGCGGCCCATAGACATCTACATCTATCCTCGTTTGCGAATTAAAATGCAGATGCGTTGTCACCCGTGAGGACTAAGATAGAATGCCCCATTTACAGTAAAAAGGGCCTCCGGTCACCTGCACTCACCAAGCGAAACGCAGAGGTAAACCTCTTCTACTTCACGCTGGTATTCTGTGAGGTCGTGGTACCACCCCGGTTCGAGCCGGCCCATCCGTGCGACAGCAAAAGCTGCCGCGTGGCTCTACCACTGTTAGAGTATGTCATATTAAGCACAATTCGAATTAATAGGATGTGGATATTATGTCATAGATATACAATTATAATTATATACGCCATCCTCAGAACATGAGAATAAATTTTGATTTATTTCCTATAGTTTTATTTACATTTGATATTACAGTTTCAGATATGTCATTGTATACTTTATTTACAGGTGGATAACATTTGTCTCATAGCTCTGCATATTTTTATATGTGCTTTCGGCACATTGTACTTATGGGTACAGGTTAGTATGCTATGTGTATAATTCATTTATTTTTATTTTTTTTATAAAAAAAAAACGTTACCCCCACACTAGGATTTTCTCCTGTGTCGTGGAGGCAGTTTATAAACATAAATTGCACGAGGTCAAACATCCAGACCCGAAACAATTATTTGTAGGCCATACAAATACTTGTTCCATGCGGGATTCAAACCTGCGGCCCCCAGTGCAGCAACTCATTGCTAAGCCACTGTGCCACGGAGCCGGATTGTATTTTTTCTTGTATTAATTAATGTTTAGCAAAGGCTAAATCTTACATGGAAAGCTGATTCGATATGATATGGATAAAGTTAGGATATAACGTCAGAAACACGGGGAAACTGTGAGATTTGCGAGATGTCTGATTCAGATTTTTTCGTTCATTATAAATAAATGGTAGTGTAATGTACTCTTGATGTCAAATACTCAATCTGGCGATGGGGAGCAGTGTCAAATATCTGAGAAGTTTAGTATTAAGATAGCTAATACGCCTCTAATGCCTGATGATTACGTCAAATCCTCTTTGCTACGTAAAAGAACTACGTCCACAGTGGACGGAGGGGGGGGGGGGTTATTGGCGATGAGGAATATAAATATTATTACGGTTATTACTATTAGGTGTTAAAGATTTATTGTTCTTACATATTATCTTACTAAATACTACTAACTATTACTAATACTAAATATATCTACATGCTGTACAGGGTTCTTATTATTAACAATGTCTCATATTTCTTTCAGTGCATTATAACAACGTATATTTCTACATTGTTTTATGACAAAAATTTGTTAATTCTTCGACAATTTATTGCCAATACGAGCTTCCTTCTACTAATTATAATGGCCATTTTTGGGACTGTAACTTCATTTTTGCCCGAAGGTAAAGTTTAATTTTAATTTATTTTCTGGTATACCGAATATGATTAATATACTTTTAAACGTTTTATATTATTATTATTTTGTAGCTGGTTCCAGTGTTTTTCACGTCTGTTTCATCATAACGTCCCTTTGCAGTTACTCATTAACAGCCTTTTTCTGCATATTTTTAATGTCATTTGAAAAGGAATATGAGTATTTTGCTGTGGTAAGCATTGTAGTTTACTTATAACTATAGGTATTCTAGTATACTCACAGTAACATTATTTGTAATTTCAGGGCTTAAGATCCGAATTACTGTTAGATGACGCCTGTTCTTTGAATAATGCGTCACTCGCTGACGTAGATAGTTTATTTGGGACACAAGATGTACTCTCTAGTACGATCTCTAACGCGATCGTAATAAAGGGAAGTATAAGTTGTGGAAAGGTCTCTTGACCAGAGGCCGTGCCCTCAACGGGCACGGTAACACATTCTATACATAACGCTTCCAACCTTTGTTATGGTAGCTTTGATAATACGAATGTTAATATGGAAGGAATAAACAAAGAAAAAAATGAATGTTTACAAGATGAAGTCCTATTGGACAATAATGATAGTGGTATGTCGTCAGAAGAAAACGAAGACTCTTTTAACGCAAGTGTCTATAGTAACAATAATTTAAATATAAACGTGACTTCAATAGAAAACGATAAGAAGGGAGTAATAACGAAGTGCCTAGCAAACGAAACTCAATGTATTGTGAATTGGAATGAAATTCCATGTTGTTCTAAAGATGTTAATAAAAATGTTAATGTTAAGGATGACCTATACAGGTATAACTCTGCGAATATACTTAATGACAGTGACATAATTAATAACGAATTTATTGTGATAGATATGACATGCGATGTCGATAACGTCTGTGAGTCTAGTAAATTTGCTGAAGATATTATAGATACAAATGTGTATAACGTTGATTGTGATAACTCAATAATTCATAGTGTAGATACGAGTCAAAGTTTAGTTCCTGTCGTGAACAAAGAAGTCGTTGTGTCAGAGAACCAGAAGTTGGTTAGTTTATCCCTCTCCATACTTCTCGCTGCACTCCTTCAAGCAATGCGTTGTTTCGCCCAGTTTATAGAGGACATTGTTGTTCCACAGCGGTAATGATTATTGTATTCTATTATATTTTTCGGTACAGTATTCGCTAGTTATAATGGTATTAAAATGTCAATATATTTAACTACTGTCTTTTAAAATTGTTGTTTCATTATCTGGGTCCTGAACAATAAAAAAGCAAGTCGTAGTACCTAATAATTTAATAACTTATACAGAACAGTACACAATTGTCACTACTATTCACACACATCAAATAAATTATGAGGTTAAATAGGTCGTTGTTACACTAACCGTTTTATTTGCTATTTATTGTCTCAAGATTATTTCACTACAAGTTTATAACGACGCCTCGTTTATCACTGTAATCAGTCTATTATTTGAGTTATGGCACTTTTTTTTAGATTTGATTGAGTTTTTGCGATGTTCGGGGGTAGTTGGATTTTCGGGAATCGTCGACGGCTGTGGTGAATTAGAGTTGCCGACTACGATGGACCAGCGTCTGCCACGACGTTCGTTCAAGTTAGGCAGCTCTGCTATTAAATTATTTTCGTATTCACTCAGCATTAAGTAGTTTTCCACCTGGAAACCCGTGAAAAATAATAAACATTAGATTACCTTGAAATTATATTTTTTTTTTTTTTTTTATAAGATAAGGGTGACAAACGAGCACACAGTCCACCTGATGGTAAGTGGTTGCTGCGGCCCATAGACATCTACATTTATCCTCGTTTGCGAATCAAAATGCATATGCGTTGCCACCCGTGAGGACTAAGATGGAATGCCTCATTTCCAGTAAAAAGGGCCTCCGGCCACCTGCACTCACCAAGCGAAACACAAAGGTAAACCTCTACTTCACGCTGGTATTCTGTGAGGTCGTGGTACCACCCCGGTTCGAGCCGGCCCATCCGTGCGACAGCAAAAGTTGCCGCGTGGCTCTACCACTGTTTAAAAAACTGTGTAAAAAATATGTATTTGAAGGTATAATGTACTAATTGAGTTCTGCCCTTCACAGCAGCGAGTATAGATATTATAGTATAGAATGATCGGAAACTGACAATTGTGCAGGAGATTTAGTACCTCGAGTTAACCCAGAAGAATGTACTCTTGCCAACCAACCAGTGGTTCTTATATGATAGGTAGGCTTAGATAGTGTCCGTGTATCATGATTAACCATAACTCAACCACACTCTAAAGTCGACCATTAATGTTTTTGTACAAATATCGGTTCCGGCCCGGATGCGAACTAAGCACCCGCGGCGATGCAACCTGGTACTCTGATCATTAGGTAACTCATTCATAAAAGTTTTCACGTTGCACGTGCATAGTTTACTTGTAACATACATTTGTTATGCTAACATACGTTTCAACTCCATAGGTGAGGAGCGGGATTTATGTTCATGTTCATATGTATATTATGCTTCCTCTGATTCTATATATGACATATGTATGTCAGAGTCCATAACGGCATTAGAGCATCTCGCTACCTATTTCGTCTAAAGGTGTTTTAGAAGACGAATATGGGAAATGTTAAAAAAAATCATAGCTTCCGACAAATGGCGGTAATAACCATCTCCATTCCACCAGAGGTAAATTACCCAAAATAGCAAGGGGTATCAGCGTAAAACTTGTGAAACGTCTGGGGTACTGCGATCGTCAATCCATCTGCTTTGGGTAAAACTGTTCGAAGAGGTCTTTCTGATGGGAAAGGCCCATAGTCACAAATACCTAGTGAACAAAATGGTTATTTATTTACGGAGCTCGCATTGAAATTTATTAATAAAATAAATGCATTGTTGCACAATTATTACGTACGTATTTTTCGTTACAAGTTATTTTTAATAACAGATAAAAGTAGTACGAGGTCGTTTAGCGTAATTTTTTGTAAAAGTTACGGACAAAAAATTATGCCAGACGTTTCATAAAAAATAGTATGGCGCGAATAAGTTGCTTATTAGATTAAAGATTACATAACGCGCTGTTGCTTTACGTTGCATTGGCTTATTATTGTTTAAAAGTCAGTCTTCTTGAGAGTTGATATTTAAATACATCTTTAACTCGTCCATTTTAATGAGTCTATTTGCTATCCAGAAAAAATCAGTGATACCTACACAGACTGCACGATGCGGTCTCAATCATCAATTTGCCTACAAACGTGCCAAATGCGGAAAAACTTATTGAAATCGTTTACAGGGCCCTCTTATTCATTCTAATAGTTAAAAATACGTCCTATTGCTGGGCACAGGCTTCACCTTATTTCGCAGTGGGCTATTTTGCATATTCATATTCAAGTACTACTAGGAGATTAGACATCTTCTATGCCTAGGACCATACATGTGGGTACTATCCTTTTACCTATATCTGCCGCCGAATAGTGCGTTCACTGCTGTGTTCCGATCTGAAGAGTATAGAGGTCCAGTTTAATTGCAGGTTGTAAGGCATTCCATCTTAGTCCTCGGCGGTGATAACGCATAGATGCCTGATGATTTCTTTCATATAAGTATATAAAATAAACATTATATTGAATAAAACTACTTTTACGGATTTTATCGCGTTTAATTAAATTATTTTGCTTATTTTTATTAATTCCCGACGTTTCCGGTGGGGAAGTCTGCAGTTTGTGATCATATCCTAGACGGCCCCCGCCATTACATTAGATTTGATAAACCACAAATTCTCGCGAAGAACATCGATTCCTGCCAAGGATATCATCCTTGGCAGGAATCGATGAGGCTATTGAAATTAAAAAAACATCCTAATTTCAATAGAGAGGGAGGCTGGGTGTAGTACCCACCTGCTTGGGATCATGTAATTAATAAAATTAAAACTAAACTCAAGCATACTACTGCAAGACTTCAAGATACAGTAAGTTTATTTTGCGTAGATCGGACCAAAATTAATAATTAAAAAAGCTGAAGGTACTCGGGATTAACTCTGACATCGGAACGTCAATCACCTCAGTCCCCCGTGACCATGAGTGCTGGAAAGCACCCGAAACGTCGGGAATTAATAAAAATAAGCAAAATAAGTTAATTAAACGCGATAAAATCCGTAAAAGTAGTTTTATTCAACGTGTAGTGTTCGCGTAAATATAAGAAATCATTATGTAAACATTATATATTTATCATACCGTAAGGATCCTTAATCGTCACCCTTAGATAATCGCGCGAGTTGTTTCCTTTGACGATGCTCTCTGCCGCCGGTTTATACGAGAAGTTTATCAGATACCATAAGAACAAGATGTTTCTGGATATTCCCATAGTCGCCTCTTATGACACCCTCGTGACGGTATACAAAGGTGTAGATGGACTTTCTAACTTCGTTACCACACTGCTTTGTAAAATGTGTACTTGCTATGAATGTACAAATGGGTTACCTTATTACAACTAGTGATACAATCACCACCGCAATCCAAATCCTCCAAAAGGTGTTCCGGGATTTCTAAATCCAGATCCAAGTCGAGTCCGCCTTCCTCGCTGATGCACGTGAGCTCCGGTGGCACTTTCGGAGGCGGCGATCCCAAACTTCCAGGTCCAATGCTGTCCAGGAGTAGGTCGCGGCCGGTCCTGCCCGGTGCTATTAATTCTGCTCCTAGAACTTAAATCGTAGATTTGAACACGTTGTTTTATGTTATTGTTTTTAATCAGATCATCTCAATACATTTTTGCTGTTAAGTTGCGAAGATGGGCAACTTATTTAAAAAAATGTTTAGAATTTATAGAATGAGCAAGATTGCCATAAAGTACGCTCCTGCCACCTGCATCTACCGACTACCTGCGTGCTTCACCATCAAATTATGTAGAGGAGGAACGCCTAACACTGCGTTTGCCAGTACGACGCTGTTACTCTAGAACCTTTCATCCAACCAGTTGTGGGTTTTCGAGCTATAAGCTCAACATGAGGACTACAAGTAGATATTCGAATACAAAATAAAAATACAATAAATAAAACGTAGATGTATCTACTTATAAAAATATACAGTTTTCGTAATTTAAGCGACAAAAGAAGGGGTTCAACAATTAATTTTGTACTAGCCTGCCGCTTTGCTCAAGGGGAATTTGCTCAGGTGAGGTGGGGAAACGCGTAGTGCTCTCTGCACAGCTGATCAAATGCACAATTAAATCTATTAGCTAGATAGATTGAAAATAAGTAAGTGGTATATATTTTTTACCAAATTCATACACTGAATAAAACAGAACATGTCATAAAATCTTTATCAATAATAATTATAAAATGGTTTTTAACAAAAAAATGAGTTCCGTTTGCCAATCACCTAAAGCGGTGGCGGCGCCCGCAGCGGTGCGCGGCTCCCGCTCTCGGCTGCGACTGCGTCGTGATGGTCCGCACGCTGATTCACATGTGGCAGTCCCGCCATTTTCTCTGGAATTTACACATTGAAGTAATTGGTGCAGGTCTCTTGGTCCATTTTAACCACGGATATTTGTATTTTTTCTATAAAAAGTGCCAGCACACAAAAACACACACATACACACATTTCGGGACGCCTGTAATCCAGAGAGGGCAGATGGAGTTCAAAATGCAGCGAGTTACTCCGACCACGTTTCTAAAAAATATGTCACAAACCCAATATCTCATGAGTCGCTTTTTACGATATGCTAGGCAAGTAGCACAGTTGGCACATTCTTATGCTCACACATACAATAATACTGTTGCGCGCCACTATTAATGTCTTGTGCATGGCAACACTATTTACACTAGCGCCCTCTAGTGTCGAGTAGCAGAATTAGGAGAGTCAAGATCCTTCTAGAAACTTCGGGACCGATATGTACTCGAACATTCTAGATGTCGCTACAGTAGAAGGTTCTGGAAACTATCTGAGGCCCTATATAAGGCCGGTATAGCTACCACGACCGAGGCAGTATTGAATTGGCGATACAAAAGAATACTTCGAAGCGAAATAACTGCGAACTAAAGTGATTGTGTTTTATTATTAGTGTGGTTTTAGATTGTAATTAGTGTTATGTAATTAAATAGCCAATTTTGGTAATTCACTCGGCAGTTGTCAATTATCTCGAACTCCAAGCTCGTAACAATACCTTAAGTCCCAGAACAACATTGAACACAAAAAAAAAAAACAATTGTTTCGTTAAAATTAGCACGGTGTTCTATGGAATTAAATTTGTACTTCTCATTATCATCGTAACTAAAACGCACTGCTAAACATTTTCCTTCTATAGTAGGAAGGCTTAAATGCTAACGCCTGCTAAGGCGAATTAGCAAACACAGTACCAGACATTTTGTATAATAGGTTTATTTTAGACTTGCACCTGAAAAACAAAAAATTCACCACCTACTCTACAGTTAAGACCTGGTTCCCAGCGACTATTTCCATCTTTTAAATTTGAAATGACAAAGAAAATGAATGTGTTTTGGCGTTTTGAAAGCGTTACACGTCAGTGCCTTAGGCCGCGGTTTTATCAGCCGCTCCCCGTATGTAAGTATAGGGAATCTATGAGGAGACCTTTGTTTAGCAGTACGATAGTAGCAGACTTTGATAGGCTGTAATGAATAAAATCCGAAAACTTTTTTAAACTGCTCACATACAAACATTTTTACAGAAGAATAATTAAATGAAAAAGTGACAAAGCTACATTAAAAAGTTTACAAATATTTATTAAATAAAAACAAAATAACAATTGGTGTTGTGGACAGTACTTGGTGTGTTTATGCGCGACGCTGCGTCGATGCAGGTCAATACAGAAGAGAGACAGTGAGCCTATCAGCGAGCACGTCGAGCTAAAGTAGTAGCCCGCCTTACCGCCGCAGCCCACGCTGATGTACCCTGAAAAAATATAGAACATTGGTACACATATTAATTTATAATTGTGTGTCATAGATTTTAGTCCTCCTTTTTTAACTCTGAATGGGTTAATTTCAAGCACGGTATGTAAGTCCTCTATTGGCAGCAACATGGGAAATTTTGTAGCACATTAGCTGGTATCCGGCGCGTTGCAGCCGATTAAGAAATAATTGCGGAAATATAGTTATCAATTTGGAAGAGTTACATTGTTTAATTAGGAATGATAATACCTTCATTGAAGTGGTATGATATAAAATTTTTCAAATAAATTTGTCGGTTCGATACCCGCGCCACCTAGTGTAAGTTAATTTTACTATGTCTGTAACCTCCGCGCAAGTGCAAGTACCTAATAAGTTGACAAAGTTTTATACTTGGTACAAGTATAAGTACTTGGTTGTATACGGAGGTCACGTCCCTTCTTAATTACGAGGGCGACACTGAAAGTTTTTAGAACCGGCCTCTTGTAAACGATATACTTAATAAAAAAATAAGTTCATATTTTGAAAATGGAACTCTTTGCTAATATTATTGTGTATGTATTTTATTAATATGTCATTTGTTTACGAATTAGGGGCAAATTGAAAATTGTTTGTGTCACGTCAGCATGAATTTAACGCGAGACAATTTTCGTACAATGATTTTTTATGACTCGATGTCATTTAAGTCAACAAGAAAGTTATGATAGCCTTTCACGACGAAGCCCCATCTCGTGCTACTGTTTACAACTGGTTTAATGAGTTTAAACGTAGTCGCACTAATCTCACCGATGATCTGCGTGAGGGACGGCCTTCTACGGCGACGAAGATAATATCGGTGTTGTGCGGCGTATGATAGTGACTGACAAAAGAGGGACTTATCAGCAGATTCGGACAAGCTTAGGCATCGGTATGAGTCAAGTGCACAAAATCCTCCATGAACATTTAGCGGTCACGAAGCTTTGTGCTCGGTGGCTACCTCATAATTTGACAGAGGCCCAACTCCGCCGTGTTGATTGCTGTCCTAAAATGTTTCAAAGATTTAACGGAGGTGACTCAAATGCTGTGGTTGACATACTTACGGGTGACGAAAGCTGGATTTATTATTATGATCCTGAAACTAAGAGACAGTCTGCTGTCTGGGTGTTTGCTTCCGAGGAGTTGCCAACTAAAGTGTAGAGAGGTCGAAGCGTGGGAAAAAAGATGGTGGCCTCGTTCTTCGGAAGGACAGGTCATTACGCAACAATTGTTTTAGAGGATCGAAAAATAGTTACTGCAGAGTGGTACACTAACAATTGTTTGCCACTTGTCTTGGAAAAAGTTCAGGAGAAACGACATCACAGTAGGATCTTCCTTCACCACGACAACGCCTCGTCGCACACCGCCAAGCAAGCAATCGACTACTTGGCGATGTCAGACGTAGAATTACTGGGTCACCCGCCCTATAGCCCCGAACTCGCACCTTATGATTTTTATTTATTACCGAAAATAAAAGAAAAACTTCGAGGAAAACGTTTTATGGACGCTGTGGAAGCAGTGGCTGCGTTTTAAAATGCCGTCAAAGAGACCCCTAAAGACGAGTGGGCAAAGTGCTCTTCTCAGTGGTTCCATTGAATGCAGCGATGTATTGATGTAAATGGACACTATTTTGAAAAGATATAATAAAACTAATAACTTCCTAGTTTGTTCAGTTTTTGATTTTCTAAGAACTTTCAGTGTCACCCTCGTACCCCTATCCGAAGTAATAATTGTGCGACAAGACCGAAAGAAGGATCGAATTTAGTGTTAAAGACAAAAATACTCCCAGATCCCAAAATGCAACGATTTGTGTAACGAGTAGCTTTGGAAAATTTTAATAGATCAATAATTTTTTTGAAAATCATTAATAGAATTTATTATAACTACTATTATACTTATCTGCCTAGAAGCCCGTCTTTGTGTAAGCACCCTCTTATCTATTTCTGTCGCAAAATAGCAGTGTTTGCATTGCTGTATTTCGGCCTGAAGAGTATACAGAGCCAGTATACTTACTTTGAGGAATTCTAACTTAATCCTCAGGGGTGACAACACATCTGTGCAGGTATCTACAAACTGAAGTAGCCATTCCTTCATGTGGATTGTAAGTTCGTTTGTCACTTCAGTTTTATGAAGAAAAAACACGAGTGTGTGTGTATATAATTATGTATCTATGCACGTAGGAAGTTATACTTCTTTACTGTAATAAAACAAAAATAACTAAAAATAACTACCTTAAATATAGTTATAAGTTCCGAGAGACAGTTACCCACTGAAGTTGTCGCTTTGAGGTGTCAGTGTGCGCGCGCATCGTAACAACTTCATGGTGTCGTTTTTAGGTGTCGGTGTGCGCGCGCATCGTGAAAATTCACTCTCATCATTATTCCTAAACACCCCAAACGAAGTATAACTTCAAAAAAGACATTCAAGTGCAGGAAGCTCTTCGCTACAGCGACGAACTTTGGCAGGAAGCTTTGTATCTACACCCAAGCGACCACCACGTGTGAATAAATACTTATTTACGTGGTAGAGCCACGCTGGAGCTATATTAGTATTATAGTTGTAGCACGAATGGGTCGGCTCGACCGGGGAAGGACCACGCTCTCACAGAAAACCTACGTAAAATAGCAGCTTGACGCTGCTGTGTTTCGTATGGTGAGTGTAGAGAACCGGAGACCCTTTTTACTGGCAAAGAGGCATTCCATCTTAGTCCTCACGGGTGACAACGCATCTGCATCTTGAGTCTTTATTGAGGATAGATGTAGATGTCTATGGGTCACAGTAACCACTTACCATCAGGTGGACTGTGTGCTCGTTTGTCACCCTATCCTATAAAAACCAAGTTGCGTATTTCATGAGCTTAAAAGTTAATAATAATATAATTAAATATACCTGAAAGAGGTACTCCTATCGCGATCGGCACAGCCTGCGAGCACTGTACGAAGCCCCAGGTTCTTGCAAAGTTACGTGACCGTACCCGTTCGTATGTGTACATCTTGAGAGAATAATGGTAACCTCCGCAAAATATACCTGAAAAACAAGTAAAACAACAGGAGTCATATAATACAAAAGTAGGTTTTTTTTAATTAGAAGTAACAAATATCATATGCCTGACCGCTGAGAATTCTTTTTGATTTTTTCTTTAGAAATACTACTTAATTTTTTTGTGTATCGTTAAGAATTTTAAGATACCTACATTAATTGCATAATATAGGTACCGAGTAGTGACAGTGTTACCGCGTAGTAGTTGTGTAAGAATATCGACTACCCCATGTCATCCCGTGGGTGTCGTAAGAGGCGACACAGGGAAACAAATTAGGAGTTAGACAGCAGCGTCTTTTTAATAACGACTAAAAATAAAAACTGTGGTTGCCATCCCTCTTGCCAATTGTGGCAATTTTGCTAAATATCCTCCCTATAAGACAATATAGGGGGAGGCCTTTGTTCCACAGTGGGTATACAAACAAACTTCTAAACACAAAACAATAATTATTGGAAGCTATATAAATACTTGTTTAGTGGAGTAATCGAAACCGTAGCCCGCAATGCTACAACCAAACACTTAGTCATTGCGTTACCAAACCAGGCGCCCTTTTGATTGTTTAGATAATCGAGCAAGTATATATTATTTAGAATAAAATAAAAAAATGTTTATTTAGTAACACCATAGATTATATTATATAAAGATCATACTAAAATATGTAGCTCCCAATGATAAAAAGCCGCCGAATTATTAAACACAATACACATCACAAATCATCGTACACAAAGTGTGTAGAATCGCGTACACGCCCCGGGGACAAAAACTCATCTAAAAAATTCGCACCAATTTTCGTTCCAATACAATTAATAATAATTTACGACCTAAGAGGATAGAATAGGTAATCGTTTAGACTCCTGATATTTTTCAGACTTAACAAATCGATGATGAATATCAATAGTAGTGAATAAATGCTTTGTTTCATCTCTTCTTTATTATCGATACTGTAAGATAAGTATTTTTTTTAAATAGCTATGACACCTGTTGACTGACACATTGAGCCAATAAAACCCTAACTTAGCATTATGTCGTGAAGATGTTACTCTAAATATATGTCGTTGACCACAACGTGATTTTCAGTGAGTACCCTATCGTGCGACGTACTATACACATATCAATGGGTCATCCATTTTAAGATATAAGCAAGCGCAATATAATAAAATTAAAAAAAGTTAAGTAACAGCCGACATACGATTCACAATTGGGCACAGACCATTTTATTGCTTTGGGGTTTTGAGGGAGGGAAAGAGACCGCCGTGCTGTTTCTATGCGTATTGGTGGATTCCACGTGTCCTCGATATATTATTTAAGTATTTAAAATACGCAGGTTTCTTCTTCAATCGGTGTTTACAAGGTATTTCCCTTAATCGGTCTTTTCAACCATCTTTAAACCTAAGAAATTCATTGCTAGACATAATCCGACACGAACGGAGAGAAATCAACGGCTTTACGTGCTTTCCGAGCCACGGAGGTAAAAAAATACTCCCAACTTCCTGATTCAAATCCAAAAACTGATTTTGGCACGACACGTTTCGAACCCGGGACCTCATGATCAGTAGCCGCGTTTATGACCACTAGTTCAACGGGAACGACATCGATGAATCACAAAGAGATTTTAAGAACGTAATAGAGAAAAGAAAAAAAATAACATCACATTCTAAACGTATGTTAAGAACAAAAATGTCGGTAAATTTTATCAATGAAAATTATAAAATTTAGTACATTTTACTAAAACTATTTAATTAATATAACGTAAATCAAATGATGCGTATAATATGTTGCTAATACTGTAAAATACACCGGAAATATTATAAAATCACTTGTTTATTTTGTATAATTTTAATTATTCCGTTTAGTATTAAGAATTACCATAAATCCAAGCGAAAATCACATAGCCGCTATAGGACCCTTCGACAACTGTGAGTGCCATAGTCGCCAACCCGCATACAAATACAGCTGCCTGGGTAAGGTACTGTCGCGCTATGCGGCACTCTGCAGAATTCTGCCTCACTAGCAATCCAAATGCTGCACAACCAACTGCCCAAGCTAAACCAAGGTAAGCTTGCAGCAATCCTGCAGTGTCGCCCAACCCTGAAAACATTTTTAATAGGTTTAAATAAGTGTTATATGTGTTTTTTTTTTGGATGTAGTGTGAGAGTACGTAGATGCTCTGGCCTCTGGCCCACATATATCTTTTATTTGTTAAATTTTAAATTGTTATGCCTAAGATGGAATGCCTTGTTACCTGTAAAAGGGCCTTCGCTTCACTATACTCACCATACGGAACGTAGCAGTATCAAGCTGTTATTTTACGCCGGTATTCTGTGAGAGCGTGGATTGTCTCCGGTCGAACCTACAGCTGCAGCATGACTACTTTTTACTTATAATTGTATACATTACGATAGTCTCTGGTGAAAGTCAATAATTTCCAACAAATTATTTTGATATATTACAATTTTATCAGTATGTAAAGCGTGGATGACGTAAGGGAGACTTACATACATTTTTTAAAACGTTACCTCCGTACAAGGATTTTTTTCTGTAACGTGTGGTCAGTTTACATACATACATTTCACAAGGACAAACATCCAGACCCGGAACAATTATTTGTAGGCCATACAAATACTTCTTCAGTGCGAATCTCTTGCTGAGCGTGTTTAGGAGCTAGAGAAAAACATGCACTTATATTTAAATATCACGATTAACATTCAAAAACTTTCCATGTACGAGAAGACATCTTCAAAAATTTTTTGTAGTTTTAAAGAATACATATAGCTCATCAATGAGATTCAAGGACATTTGATCCCCCTCTGGTTTATTTTCAACTACGTTCCATTCGATTATCAATGCGCAGGAGTTGTTGTTGTACCACAAGTGTACAAGAAACACATAGAAATTAACTTGTCACTTTCATACAACTCGGGTTACCAGACATCTTTTATTTTAAAGGACGTCATCTATTTCACACCCAAAAATTGATCTTGTCCCCTAATTTCAAATCTTTAATAGAGGACAAGGCAATATCGCGCGTATTCAACATTCCCTCTGCTAGATGAAGCCAAAGAGGTTAAAAATCATATTGAGGTGACGCACGATGTTAAATTATGTTACATTGCGTATTAATATTACGCATCTCCATTTTATTTATAATTTTCACTCGATAGCATACATCATTATATTGAAAACAATATGATATCCCTTATTTTTATCCTACGTCCTTTATTTAATCTTTTATTTTTAAATTTCTTTTAGAACAGACAAAACAAAACCAAAACGCGAGCTGGCAACCTTACAACTAAAAATAATATGTTGTTGCTCTATAAAATAGCACTGCTTATAATCGTTGTGGGGGCTAGGTCCTCGGTTCAGAAATGGTATTGATTTTGAGTCGGTAACTAAGATCTTCAAGAGCTGTGCCTAGGAGTAAAATATTAGAAATAATTAAAAATTAATTTACGCAAGATTTGAGTTTTTGAATTGATGGATGGTCTATTAGAAAATTGAAATCAATCAATCATCGCACTGCCTACATTATTAAAAAAATTGAGCCATCGTTCGTTTGATTTTCAAGTTATATCACAGAATAAATAATAGTAAGACAATACAATATTTTTATTAATATTATATTTCTCATTAGTTTTCGCATGTGATAATAGTTTCGATTATAATTTTTGGAGCTTTCAAATTTTACTTCGTCAGTGCGTAAAATCATTCATGGATAACTCCCATCGTAAGATTGTCATAATTTCTACCGCTGGCTGACGAATTGGCGATCGCAGCCTTTCCGACATTCGGGCTTTCTACGCTGCTCCCCGTGACCGTTCTGGATATCTTACATATGACTTACACTCAATGTTAATAGACCATGAGTTTTTCTGACATTTTCCGTATTCAAAAGATGAATGGTGGCATCGTAAAAGAATCCATGTGGAATGGTATGAGCAATGCCAGAATTTTTTATGGCTGCCGATATATGGCAGTATAACCATCTCGTTTACGCTCAACGAAATAACCAGAACGACGAAGAGGAGCAGCGTCAAAGGTGCGATACGTCTGGTATTGCGATCGTCAATTCTATTTTTATACGTGGTAGAGCCATGCTGTAGCTATATTAGAAGTATAGTTGTAGCACGAATGGGTCGGTCCGACCGGGGAAGTACCACGCTCTCACAGAATACCAGCGTCAAATAGCAGCTTAACACTGCTGTGTTTCGTATGGTGAGTGTAGAGAACCAGAGACCCTTTTTACTGGAAACGAGGCATTCCATCTTAGTCCTCACGAGTGGCAACGCATCTGCATTTTGACTCGCAAACGAGGATAAATGTAGATGTCTATGGGTCACAGCAATCACTTACCATCAGGTGGGTTGTGTGCTCGTTTGTCACCCTATACTATAAAAAAAACTGGGAGGCTCATTTCCAGCAGTAGACTTCTACGGGCTCATGATGATAATAAATCACATAAAGATATAAATTATTACATTTAGGTCGAAGCGTAGTTAAACATTACAATATATAACGTTATTATAATGATGTACCTAACCATAAAACTTGAGGGTACGCTTGGTTGGCAGGACATAAAGTGTTCTTAATGTTCGATAAAACTATAAAGTAACTTGTCTAGTTTATCTATTTCAGAATAAATATTCATGTAGACTAGAACAGTTTGGTTTCAGTTTTTACCAATAAAATGTTAAAGTTGTGCTCCTTTCTTAATCTTGTCAACTAACTTAATATAAATGAAAGTTGTATGAAATGTTTCTTCGTACTCACCTTCTTCTTCAGCGTGATAAGCCAAGTAAAATATTGGAGTGTTGATTCCAAATGCCGATATACCAGTAGACATCAACAGGATCCGTACGGTTTTTGACCTAAGCGTTGAAAAGTCGAAGAAAGGCTGTCGATCGTCAGACTTGTTTTTGTCCTTCATTTTTCGTTTAATTTTATTCTGATTCTTAAGGTGCAGGATAGCGCGACGTTGGGGATGGTATAATGATGCTGATCGATAGAAAGTGCCCAGTATGAATGTTATGAATACGACTCCTGTCACAGCCTGCAGTCCTAGTCGCCAGCCAATGGCTCTATTAAAAAAAAAATCGAAATATTTTAGCAATACTCAATGTTTTACTGTTAATAATTCAAAACTTTAAAAGCTGTATAAATTTAAAAGTGCTAAATTTAATAATATTGCACTAAACCCTGAGAGAGATTGTGCTATCAAAGACAATTTATATATGTATTGAAACAAAGCTTATCACATATTGCTTTCAAACACCTACACACCTGGGTATTATATTTCATAAGAAAACGGTATTTGAAACTTTAATATTACTTTGTTTTTAGTTTTTTCTTATTTTTGAAGTTGCGCTATCTCTACCCATCGAATAAAGTGAACGTTGTCGACGTCATCCTTAGTTCATAATCAGCTCAATGTTGGAGATAAATTCTCTCAATGCCAACCACATACATACGGAATTCCGTTTCGGGATTCCGTTTCGGAATTCAGAACGGGTCGCCAACATACATACGGAATCCCGTTTTGCCCGCAAAATTTCGAACGGATAACTACCGTACGTGTGTGACGGGTCATATATTTTATATGAACTTGCTACGTTCGGAATTCCGAATCGGAATTCTGTATGTATGTAGCGGGCCTAAAAGGTGCAATATCAAACCAGAATTTAATAATTCTTCCAACAAAAATGTCGGGTTTCAATCTAACTACGATAGGTCTGATATATTGCGAGTTGACGCTGTTGCCTGTCTATAGCTCATGTTTGTAGTAAACATTTTGGGTAAGGGATCTATTGCTATCTGTTGATTGTCATAATCTTTTGGGCATTTGCCTTAGACGGTTCTTATGACAATATATCAACTTTGTGCGTACTTATCTGTCAAAGGAAGTAATAAACATCACCATCATCATAATAGCCCATTAAATTCCACTGATAAACATAGGCTTCTCTAATAGATTGCTTCATATATTTGATATAGTTATATTTAGCAAATAGCAAATATAGGGGATATTTACTACGGTTGTTATAAGGAAGATGCTGCTGCCCATCTCCTCTTTCAGTTTCTATATATCGCCTCTAACGACATCCATGAGATAATATATCGTAGTGGATTGCCTTACGTCAGCAATAAGCGGTCAATAAAACGTTTTATTTTATTATATAAAATCATTAATTATTAACATATTGAGTTGTCAAACCTTGTCGTAACTAAACGGGTGTCGTAAGAGGCGACGAAGGGAAACTGAAACAGGTGACGGGCAGCAACATCTTCTTGATAATTACTCTAAAAATAATAAAAAACTAGCTGTTCCCCGCGACTTTGCCCGCGTGTTATTTGGTTTTTTTTTGCGAGGAACCCTAATTATTTTTCTAAAACAAAAGTAGCCTAATGACCTAAGTTACTCCTTGTGACATAAGCTATCTGCCAGTGAAAATCCCGTCAAAATCGGTCCAGCCGTTTCGAACATTTGCCGGAACAAACAGACAGACAGACGGACGGACAGACAGACAGACAGGCAAAAACTTTAAAAATGTTATTTTTGTTATTAGTACCGTATATACTTTCATATGTATTTAGTAAAAAGCTGTAATTTTGACATTACAAACAGACACTTTAATTTTATTTATTTGTATAGATTGCGGTTGCCAAACCGACTGCCAAGCGTGGTAACTATGGCAAAATCACTCCTATGAGACAATCTATGGGGGAGGCCTATGTTCAGCAGTGAACTTTTATAGGCTGTAATGGATGAAAATGGATATTCAGTTGTTAAAAATATCTACAACATTTATTTCGTTTTTCAAAAATTAGATGTTTTTGAACTCTATGTAACTTGAATTCCACATTAAATTATTTTTCTGCTGTTGTTGTACTCTTGTTAAAGTTATTAGAACTTGTAGTTAATTTGATACCCTCTATGTACAAATGTACAATGGTACGGCTACGGTTACATCTTATAACTTTTGAAATGTAGTTGGTTTTTACTGACCACAATTAGGTTAAGTTTTTTAGTTCGAAAATGTCCCGTAATAGCATTCAACTACCGTAAACATCATAAGACCGCTGACGAAATTATTATATAGTGCAAACAACCACATCATAATAAGTTACATTTAAACACATAAAAACATCACGAAAATCAAGATAGTAAAGAGTTAACAAAAGTTGACACTTTTTAACACAACAATAATGTGAAACGCGAAGTTACTGTGAGATTACCTGACGACTCCTTTGATGAATGTAGACATGACGGCGATACCGAGCCCGCTGCCGCTCACGATAAATATCTCGACCAGCTCGCGGCGACGCTTGAAGTATTGCGCTACCATCAACGTAGAACAGTCTCTTGTCAAACCAACCCCCACACCCACCACAGTCCCTGCAGAACATTGTATAACGACAGTAAACAGAAAAATATTGTATAATAATACATAATAATAGCTGCTGATAATTGTTATTTTAGTTTTTTAGAAAGTATGTAAACTTGTTTGACCAGTGCGTGATCTTTCTTCGGCTTAGCCGAATTCCTGTCCCATCGGATTATGAGAGTGAAGGAATAGACTCTCTATTCCTTCACTCTCATAATCCGATAGTAGTACCAGTTACTCGACTCCGTCGAGTCAGTAATTCACTCTTGGGGCGATGTATACGCTTTTACAACAAAATTCCAGAAAATATACAAAATTAGACCTGTTCAAATGATAATAACCCTTGGAAATGAGGTGATTTCTACCAAGCTATTTCTAATTTGTTGTGTTGTTAATTGTGTAACATACATGATAGTAAGCTGTTATTTAAAAAAAAAGTCCCGGTGGGTTTCTTGCTGGTTCTTACCAGGACAGAGGTTTTTTTTCGAAACAGTGATAATTAAACCAAAGAGTGACTTTCTATAAGTATTATTTATAATCTATTGAATAAAAAAGTTTCTGTTTCAGTGCACGAGTGCGCAAACAAAGTTTGCGCACTTGTGCACTGAAACAGAAACAGAAACGTAAGAGTTAAGACTGGCTGTCATGGTCAAAATTCGGTCTTGAGGACATTATTATTGCTGGAAATGGATCTGTCCCAAAATACGAAGGATTTTCCGTCAGCACTGCGCTTAAGAGGCGTCACGGTCTCTGACACCGGCTTTCCAATCTCCCGCCGATATGTGCGGTTTCATTTTTCAGTGAGATAAACTGTCAAACATCGGAGACCATATAAGATTTTCATGATATTTCCTATACTAGTCATTATTCAGACCTTTGATAACCCCTAGTGATGAAATAGGTGGTTTATCAAAACCACAAACGATGGATTCTCTAACACAAGTTTATATAATAATAGTTCTTCTTTTTTAATTATAATTCCTTGGTTTAAAGTATTTTGTAAAATGTATATTATTTAGTCATTTCATGAGGGCGTGGCGGGTGGAAGGTGGTCACCACTCTGGCGATGGAAGGAAAAGGGGAGATCTCCCGCCGGGCAAGGTGTTCTGCCCGGGGAGCGGCCAACGCTCCGAGTGGTAGTTTAGAGCTATTCTATATAATGTATACTGCTTTAACTTCGGAACTTTGTTAACGAGATTTAGGCTTCGATGTGTTTCGCTTTTGGCGCGACGTCAGCGCCGCCACAAGGTTTTAAGTTTAAAATAAGTGAGGTTATATTACCACGCAGAAAAACGCTTAGAAAGTGTTATCGTGTTCAGAATATTTCAATAAGCGTTTAATTAATTTGGAAAAAAATTGCTTCTTTATAACGTGTATTTTCACTTTATGTATTCATCTGATTAGATTCTACGATCAAAATTCTTTACTAAGAATTATTTATACATGATTTAAAATTAAAAATTTACTACATCCGACTTTAATATAAATTATAAAGATATATATAACTCAAAAATTATTAGTCAAACCTTGACCAAATTTATATGGGATGACATGGGAAGCACCAGCTTTCAATTAAAAAATGATTCAACGAAATCGGTTCACCCAAAAAAAAGTTATGATGTAAGACACATAAAAAACATACAGTCGAATTGAATACCGTCTCCTTTTTAAAGTGGGTAGAAAATACAAATCCAAGGATCTATTTTATGTCTAAACAAGGAAAGCATGTTAGATACGTGTTTCACACTTTTTATGTAAAATCTTTCGAAAAGTTAATAATTAACAGACGCTACTGTTCCAGGGATTTGTTATTTAACAAAATGAAAAATAGGAATGATTTACGTGCATACACATTGCACATTTCTCGTTTTAAATCCGAATAATTATGAATTGTGTTGAGAAAATATAGCTCTAAGGATCTATGTATACGCTGCTAGATGACGAGTTAGATGTACAAGGATTAAAAGTAGGGCATGTGTCTTAAAATATATTTATGTCTGTAGATAATGTGACTGGTGAGCATAAAGATGGCGATATTGTCACGTATGCACTGGAAGCAGTCGAGATTGCATCGCGACACTACGTGGGAGAGGGGAAGCTGGCGGATGACTTCCAGGATATCACCGCTTATCAACATTCACCGCGGGAACTCGTGATGTTTCACAAACAATTTATCACATTTATTCACAACGAAATAATTGCATATACTCGTGATTATAGTATTATTGCAAGAAAATTTTTGAAAAGTTTAGGCGAATCATGATATGATCTAGGTGATGACTGTATGAGTATATGCATATTATGTCATCATTCATTATTACATATTATTCATGTATCATGCTGAACGTTTTATTTTAATGTAAATATTTTTATATATTTATAAGTTTATTTATGTGACTCTTCTGTGCGGATTGACGATTTACGCGTCCTCAAAATGTTATCTCTCTTAGTAACGTAGCTTTCTTTTCAAAAGTAATAGTAAACTTATAAGTAGCGGCACGAAAGTCTAGCGGCGAACGTTATTGCACATAATCCGCGCTGATTGGCTTATTGCGCATAAGTCGCGTTGATTGGCTCTCCAGTCGTATTCATGCAATTCAATTCGTGTGCGTCTCCTCTACGTTTCGTTCAGCGCTAGACTTACATGCCGCGACCTGTAGGTGTGGTTTTTTAAGGACAGTGCTGAATAACTCAGTGCCTATCGAAATTACAGATTTAATTTGATGAAAATTAGTTTACAGTAAAAGCAAGTAAAATATCCCAAAGCAGTGCAATGGTTTTGCGTAATTACAATGTATGAATATACTTTAAACAAATAAATAGTTACTTTATCACGAACTTATGTTTGTACTAAATACTTTAAACGAATGTTACACGTTAACGAAATTTATGTATATCTGTTAAAATGGTCTCTGTATTTCTACATTCACATCATACATGAAACACATCAGTATTATGATGCTATTTTGTGAGAGTGTGGTCCTTCCTCGGTCGAGCCGACCCATTCGTGCTACAACTATACCACCACTATAATTGCAGCATGGCTCTACCACCTAAACATTTGGTGGAATTTTTGAACTTTGGTTGAATGATCTAAGCCGGTAGTTATCATAATAAAATCCGGGGGATATAGATTTTATAACAACATAACAAAAGGAGATAAAATTAACTCAAAATGTGTTTAATTCTAAGGAAAAAAATTTAAATTTAATATGTTAAGAAAGATGCAAACAACTCCGATATCTCCAAAACCGACTTTCCAGTCTCGCTTATGAAAAGCAATGTAGGTAATGTGTTTTCTTTGTCGGACGATTGCAATGGGATGACGCTCAAGCTACAGACACAGAACATTTCCGCTTCCAAATGTATCGAGTAGTTTGCTATCATGACCTTATAGCTATTGCTTTTTAAAGTGCAAACATTTTATTATGCGGGATATTATCTGAGAATTGTATTGTATTACGTGACAGCTAAGGGATAAGCTTTTGTCTTTAAATGGCATAGTACGTTAGTGAACCAAGTTCTATTCTCACTGACATCAATGAAATCGTTTGACTGGAAAACATCGTAATGGTTTCATACATGTCTGAGAAATTAAAAAAATATATCAAGGAGAAGTGTGCCAAAACGTATTGGGTTAGCGGAAATAACTATTTCTTATCCTAAATCCTACAGGAATAAGAGGAGGCCTGTTTCCAGCAGTGGAACATATAAAGGCCGTTACTTTACTTGATCTAATTATTTAATATAATAAAGGTTTTATCTCATTTATATTTTGATAGAAGAAAGAGTGATGATCAAGACCAACTCAATTCAATTCATTTCAATTCAATTTATATGCTATTTTTGTTGTATACATTTGGTTTTAATTTTAAAAATAGTTCAAAATAAGAACTATTATTTATAAAATTATAATTATGATTATTTCACCAATGTGAATATTTAAAATACTGGTGCCCACCACTATTAATGTCTTGTACATGGCAACACTAGTTACCATCAGCGCCCTCTAGTGTCGAGTAGCAGAACTAGGAGAGTCAAGATCGTTCTAGAAATTTCGGGATCGATACGTACTCGAACATTCTAGATGTCGCTACAGTAGAAGGTTCTGAAGACTATCTGAGGCCCTTTATAAGGCCGGTATAGACCACGACCGAGGCAGTATTGAATTGGCGATACAAGAGAATACTTCGAAGCGAAACAACTGCAAACTTAAGTGATCAGTAGTACAATTGTGTTTTATTATTAGTGTGGTTTAAGATTGTAATTAGTGTTGTGTAATTAAAGTGTCAATTTTGGTAATTCAATCGGCAGTTTTTAGTTGTCTCGAACCCCAAGCTCGTAACAATACTATAAGAAACTTAAATAATAACGAGATCATAGCGAGAGAAACAAGAGTACATTATTTATTCCTAAAAAATCCTGCTACGAGTAATAACATTTTTTCGTTTTTTTTTATAGAAGAGGGGGCAAACGAGCATGCGGCTCACCTGGTGGTAAGTGAATACCGCCGCCCATGAACAACCGCAACACCAGGGGAATTGCAGATGCGTTGCCGGCCTTTTAGAAAGGTGTAAGCTCTTTTCTTGAAGGTTCCTAAGTCGTATCGGTCCGGAAAAATCGCTGGTGGTAATCGATTCCACAAGGAAGTTGTGCGAGGAAGAAAACTTCTTCTAAATCGCACAGTGGTGGACCGCCAATCATCCAGATGGTATGGATGGTAACGCGAGTTTTGTCGCGATGTGCGATGGTGAAATTGAGCGGCTGGAATTAGTCCGAACAATTCCTCAGAGCACTCCCCGTGATAGATGCGATAAAATACGCAAAGAGATGCAACATCTCTACGCAGTGCCAGTGTATCGAGCAGATCAGAGAGAACTCGGTCGTCGACGTTTCGGCTTTCTCTTTTGCGTCATGGGCCAGTGAGTCGTTCGCCCTGTGCAGAGATGGCAGAGATGGCTGACAGAAGTTCCCTTGGACAACCTTAGCGAGAGACCAGAATGCATGTGTT